AAGCTTTTGCTCAAATAAATTTGTTAGTCTCTAAGGTGCACAAGTACTTCTTTTCTTTTTGCGAATACAGACTAACATGGCTGCTACTCTGAAATAAAACATTTATGGTATCATTGCTCACAATTATTTCTCCACTTCATATTCCATAAGTGGAGTTGCCAAAGGAATATGAACAAGCCCAAAGAGGAGCAGGGATTCAGAAATGCCAAAAATCATTTGAGAATTGGCTGGAGATCTAATAAAGTCAGATGAAGTTTAGATCTACATCAAACATTGCAAACAACATAGCTTGTTTCAGTGCAATTCTTGTATTAATTATTTCAGTGGAAAACATAGAGGGCTTCTGTCAAGGTTCCTTCTCCACTCTGAACTCTAGGGTACAGATGTGGGGACCTGCATGAAAACCTCCTAAGCTTACTTTTACCAGCTTAGGTTAAAACTTCCCCAAGGCACAAATTATTTTATCCTTTGCCCTTGGATTTCCACTGCCACCACCAAACTTTATCTGGGTTCCTGAAAAAACGGAGTTTGGACACGTCTTTCCCCCCAAAATCCTCCCAACCCTTGCACCCCACTTCCTGGGGAAGGTTTGGTAAAAATCCTCACCAATTTGCATAGGTGACCATAGACCCAAACCTTTGGATCTTAGAACAATGAAAAAGCATTCAGTTTCCTTACAAAAAGACTTTTAATAGAAGTAAAAAGAAAAGAATCACCTCTGTAAAATCAGGATGGTGAATACCTTACAGGGTAATTAGATTCAAAACATAGAGAATCCCTCTAGGCAAAACCTTAAGTTACAAAAAAGACACACAGACAGGAATATTCATTCTATTCAGCACAGCTATTTTCTCAGCCATTTAAAGAAATCATAATCTAAGACATACCTGGCTAGATTACTTACTAAGTTCTAAGACTCTATTCCTGTTCTGTCCCCGGCAAAAGCAGCATACAGACAGACACAGACCCTTTGTTTTTCTCCCTCCTCCCAGCTTTTGAAAGTATCTTGTCTCCTCATTGGTCATTTTGGTCAGGTGCCAGCGATGTTACCTTTAGCTTCTTAACCCTTTACAGGTGAGAAGATTTTTCCTCTGGCCAGGAGGGATTTTAAAGGGGTTTACCCTTCCCTTTATATTTATGACAGCTTCAAACTGGTCCCTGTAACTTTTGAGAGATCTATTTGAATCCAATTTCAGAGAAACACCGTAACTTCACAGGTTGGGTCTCTTTCTATTAAGGGCTGAAGCAGAGCATTATATCCAATCCACCGAACTTGGGAAGATTTCATTCTGGATTCAGAAGTACTATACAATATGTCATGTTACGCCTTTTTTTAAAAAAAAAAAAAACATTGTGTAAATGGGCTCTTCTGAAAGGATCCAGCTACAGTTGGGGGCAAATGGTATAAATACTGATTTGTACATATTTTTGGAAAGCTGTGATTCACATTGTTGGTATTGTTCACAACCATTTGGACAACTGCTGGGTATCTAAAAACGTTCACAATTTCTAAAAGTTTTACTAATTTATCCTGAATGGTCATTGAAATATGAAATGACAGAACCTTAACTTTAGAGATTCTTGACTTTTGTATGATTTAATTTCCAAATATAACAGTGTTAACATGAGAGTTTTGGAGAAAGGGGGTTTGTTTTTTTGCTTTGGTTTGGAATCTTTGCTTTGAATATAAATAGCATTTCTTAGAGAACATCTCACATGGTTTCTAGTGGTTTTGTAGTTTCTGCAAACATTGTATTCTTTATATTTTGCTTACACTGTTGACTAGCCAAAAGATTTTAGAACCCAGAACATTTTTCAGTTACCACAGAAATCCAGGAAGGGCAGAAAACATCAACATGACACATCCAGACTACCATATCAAGACAGTCTAGAGATATTGGCACAAATTATGTCTAGAAACATGGACAAGTGTCTGATGCACTCTGATTTTCTCTTCAACTTTTCTAAGAAAGTGACCCTATTGAAACACGACTATTTTTCAAAACTTGTTGCTTGACTTCATAATATGCATAGGTCGGAGAATTTAAATAGCATTATCAAGAGATAAGAGTTAGAGGCATTCTGGCTTTCAACTGGCTGATCTGTCTGTTTCAGACAAAGGATATTTAGATAGGCTTATTAAATAAAGTACTGTCTGTAGAGCTGTCTGTAGAACTGTCTCTCTCACCCTCACAAGTTTACTAGTGCATCAGTGATGCCACGAAATTAAATATATTGCTGCTTTAATGTAAGTGATGAAGGAACAGCAATCAAATTTTCTTTCGATCTGACAAGCATAAGAATTTACAAAGCATCCTTAAGTTAATTCTAGCCATGTCTGTAGGCAATACACTGAGGGCTTTGTTTCACCTTGTCATTTTAAGAAAAAGTTATAATTCAGCAAATGGAAGTTTTTCCTTAAACATTTTATTAATAATGCCACTAATCTGCACTAATGCTTTTGCACATATAAATCTGTCATCCAGTAAATACCTGACATGCCATACATAACTGCATTTTAAAGTATTTTCTTGTATTAACTATTTAATGTCAATCAATACTAAAATGTTATAATATCTTTCAATATATTACATAAGGTAATTTAAGATTATATATGTCACCACTACATCATTTATACCATCAGTTAGATAATTCTGTAGAAGAATTAAATAATTAAGCTTGATCTCTTCACCTTAATTAGTATATTACAGATAACATTTCATATTGTTTTAGCACAAAATATAGGGTAGAGGTTACTGAATTTGATCCAGAAAGACATATATGGAATTGAATCCATGTCTCCGGTTTGGTGCTCTATCCACGACACTATACTGCCTTCATTATAAAGCAACAAAGGAAGCTGTAAGGACTGGAAATACACCCAGGATAGTTCTATACAGTATGTAAATATAGAAATAATTGAAAAATAATGCTTTGCTAAGCTGTCAGATGGACAATAATTTTTAGGGTGACCGTCCAGTTTTAAAAACAGAGTGGCTAAAGTTACTTGTATTTCCATTTTCACAGTATTACTCACATTTTAACAGTGAATCAGTTCTATCATGATCTCATTTATGTAGGGAATTATATCTACATTACAGCAAATGTATTGAACAGAAATTGCCTGATGGGAGTGATTTAGCTAGAGCAGGGTTCTGAAACTTTTTCATGGCTTGGATCACACCTTAGTGCAGAGAACGGATTGTGGACCCTCTGCCTTCTCATTCATGATCATATAGACCCCCTCCCCACTCACTGGCAATTTAAAAACAATATCTCTATGGCAACTACAGTTGTTTTGTGGGGGAAAAAATGCTATTAGGAAGGGAAAATGGTTGGTTTTCATTCTCTTGTCCAGTTACTTTCTGGTTTGGGGACACTATTAGCTTTATTCTTGTGTACAAGTAAATTTATTTTTAGCATATTTCAAAAGTGCTTACACCCAGAATAGATCCACTTTTTCATGCTCAACAAATTATTTCTATCAACTTTTACTTTGAATAGTACCCCAAAGCTACAGCTGGAGCTGAAGACAGTGGTTCATCTCTTGATTAGGAATCGCTAGGATATATCATCAGCTCCCAGCACTGTTCCCTGGCAGTGGATGCCTGTTTACTTACTGATACAGTTAAGGTGCTGGCTATGATCCTGAAAGCCTTAAAGAGTGAGGATCCAGTTAAATGAGAGATTGCCTTTCCCACTTTGTCTTATCACTACAACATGCATCTACGCTCTTGATGCTGATTTCTGCAGTTGAATTCTGAAGACCTATGTCAGGGTATTTGAAAGCAAATAGATTCTGGAACCTCTTTATTGTGCAGATATCGCAAAAGATCCTGTATTTGGGAAATTCAGGGAATAAATAAAATACTTCTCTTAGCTGAATATTTAGTAAGCTTTGTATTGGTTATTAACTAGTGTCAGCTAAGTGCTGAGACAAATTGCATTATGAATGAACACTGGAAATGAATGAACAGTACTGTGACCAAAACCAACTCATCTCCTCCTTTGTTTTCAATATCTTATCCTTATGCACACCTGTCACACCCATGTCAATACAATGGGATAGGGCCCCTTTGTTCATTTCCCTTGACTGAGGATGAGGGGGTTGGAGACACAAATTCCAGAAACACTTTACCCTTCAGTACCTCTCTTTAGAGCTTATTGGGTTCTCTTTTCTTTAAGAATGTCTGCATGAAATCATTCATATGAAAGTATTTTTTAACAGAGAGAACAAAAGAAGCTGTTTGCTTAACATACCTAGATATACCTTTTCATAAGCTAAACAAGATAAAACATTCCCATCTTAGCTATAGAGAAAAAGAAGAAAAATGAACAGCTTATACCTCTGAAAGAAATCCTCTCTCTCTAACCATTTCGGTCTAATTGTTAACATCATGCTGTCCAGACAGAAAAAACACCTTGCTCTGTCCAGAGAGCCTTCTTATCAAATTCTCCCTGATCTAGGACTGCTAACCAGTTTTTGCAAGTTGCCTATACGCACAGTAGGATTTTGGGGACTGGCTCTAGGATATGGTCCACTCAGGAAACATATGCTATGTCTACACTATGAGTAGTACAGTGGCCCAGGTGCAGCTATGCCACTGAAGGGCCACAGTGAGGATGCTTCCTACACTGACTAAAAGGATTTTCCTTTCACTATAGTAAATCCACTTCTCCAAGAGGCAGCACCTAGGTCGATGGAAGAATTCTTCTGTTGATCTACCATTGCCTATCCCGGGGGTCAATTTTTCACACCTGAGTGATGTACCTAGGTCAAGCTAATTGTTAAATGTAGACCAGGCCAAAGGCCTCTTAACAATGATTAGGTCAGATACCACCCAAACAAGCTTGGCTGGTTTAATATGATCAGGCCTCTTACTAAAACTGAATCATTTCTTTCTTTTCCCCAGAAATATAAATTATGGACAGGTTTCCAAACCCTCTGCCACATATACATTACAAATATAACATGAAAGTGGTAATTACAGTACAGTTACCTGTCATGTTGCAGTAAACTTTCAAAGGTCCCAGTGCCCCACTGCCATCTGGATCTATCCAGTAATAATTTGAAGTTTTGCCCAGGTGTTTGTATGCTTCACAGGAGAGGTCATAAATAGCTGGAATGGAATAAAATAAAATATACTAATAAGGAAATTGAAGTCCAGGAGCAAACGATTCCCAATCACAATTACTTTCTTCATAGCTTCATTTTATATTTCACACTAGTGCAAGAACCATGAATTAGTCATTGATTTAATACTTGAAAATTAATAGAAGGCACAATATTTTTTCCAATGTACAGTGGCTTCTAGAGCTGGTCAGAGAAAATTTGATGGAATCATATTTTGTTTTGGAAGAAAAATGGAGACAAAGTTCCAACAATGTCAAATGCCTCTTTTTCATATTTTCAGACAGAACATTTTATTTTTCATTTTAAAACTACTTTTCATTTCATTTTTTAAAAAATGTGCATTATACATCATAATATGTAAAAAATGAAAGTCAGAATTGGAACAAAATGTTTTGATTAACCTATTTTTTTTTATTTTGTTTCACAGATAATTTTGAAATGTTCAGGTTTCATTCTCAGTTGGAACAAAGTCCAATTTTGAAATCTCAAAATCCTTTCTGAAACAGAATTTTCAACCTCTATACAGTTCTGCTTGCTCCTTTTGCCACTTACTGTAGATAACTTAAATATTATCCCAGTATTTCCTAAGTGTTCTCAGTACCAGCTATGGGAAACACTATAAATTCTTAGGCAACGTTAATTATTTATCGAAGTCCTAATTGGCAGGTTTTTAGAGTTGACCACTGTAGCTTGCTTACCATTAAAAATGGAGAGTTGCCACCACTTTGGTCAGACTGTGGTATTTGCAATACTCCAGATAGACTTTTCTATTAATTAAATAATTATATGCATACAAATAATTTCTTACACAAATCTGGAAACGAAAACGAATAATATCTAACTAATATCTAACTTCTCTGTTGTCCAAAGGACCAGATGGCATAGCTTTGTGGGTTGGAATCAATCAATCAGCCCCTAAATGAATGAAATGTTTGTTTACCCAGATTTCATATCTACTCTAAAACCCACCTAATATGCTGGCAATTCCTACAAATTATCTCCTTGGTATGAATGGCTTTATTTCAAATGTCCATAAGGACAGTTCATTCTGCTGGGCTCTAGATGATTAGTGAATGATGAATCCCCCTTTTTTAAAGGCCTCCAGCCAGCTACTATGAGACAGGAAGGAAAATGGAGGCTGGAAACATCTACACCCCCACATAATGTGAAAACAGATAAAGTGAAAGTTTTAGTGTCTGTGTTCATGCGTGTGTGAGAGAAAGAAAATCTCTCTGACCTCCCAATATTGCAGAGGGACAGAGAAGACTATATTGCAGGATAAATTTATTGTTAGAGATGCTTTAATTTAATGAATTAATCTTATATAAAAAGCAGAAATTTATCATAATTGAATTGTAAGATGTTCCACTTAGTCATTTCCCTTCTCCCCACTTCCACACCAAGGAGAACAGATTTTCTCTTTTCACAGTGACTGCACCTGGTTTCGGACATGATTCTGAAAGAATTTATAAGATTTTTGAAGATCAACATACATAGCCTAGATAGAATGATATTTCAGTCAACAGAAGACTCTTGGTGAAGAGTTACAATGGAGAATGTCACACCATAACGAAGCTGCAGTATCTTTTACAAATTAACAGTACTACAGAAAGGACTATTCACTGTAAAATGGCTTTATCCTTTGACTGCTGATGAATGAACAAGGTATATCCAGAACATATCTCCTATACTACTGAGTGTATTCTGGCATGGCACAGAACATTATTAATTTCATTTCTATGATACTAGACCACAAATGTCTTAACTGGCGCAGTGGAAGATCAGAAGTAGTTGATTAAGAGCTCATAAACTTAAAGTTTTTTATATATAACTTCTGTTACCTAGAGTTTGGAGGTATACAACACTTTACGTGATACATATGGCATATCTTTCCCTCAATTTCTTGAGCCTTGTTATTTATGGAGAAACGGGCTCATTCAACTGTTTTACTTAAACACAAGCTTGATAATTATTACCATTAATTGTATCAGCAGTGTATTGCTACAAAAATTAATTTAAAATGATAAAAGTGTACGGTACGCACTATAGAATCTGCCTTTACATTTTTTGCATTGCATTTTTTAATATGAAGAGATTGTGATACAGCAACAAATTCTCCTTGATTAACTTATTTCATCAGGTACTCTGTCCTTCCTAGAGTGCCAAAAGTGTATTAGCTATTTTATAGATAATTAAAGGGCCCATATTTGATATGTTTCTGAAATGTTGACAGCCCAGAAGACAAAAAACTCCTTTATTTAGTCAAAGAAGAGACATGAGGAAGATACAGAAGAAAAGGGAGAAACTAGTATACTGAGACAGGGAATAGTGACAAACCAGGCACAAAATTGAGAGGGAAGAAGGAAATGAAGGGCTCAGTGACGCTGGCATCATTAACAGAACAAAGGTGTTAATAAGATCCTGTGAGAAACAGCAGAGATATAATCAGGGTCAAATTTATGTAGAAGCTTTGAAGGGAGTGGCAAAAATGTTTAAATTGAATTCTCTTGGCAAAGGGAAGCTAGCCATGGGATTATAATACGAGAATAACAAGGGTGAGCATCAAGTTTGGAAGATCATTTTAGCCATTCTTAATAGGAGGGGAGTAAGGTAGGAAATAGGGAAGTCAGAGAAGTGAAGGTTCCTGTAGTCAAGGAAGGAGATAAGCTCAGCATTTTATCTGACGGGAGAGCAAGGAAATGCTGAAGTTTTGAAATGTTGGAGAGCAGGAACTGGAAGGAACTGCCAACAGCATGGATGTTTGAGGAGAAGAAGAAGAGAAGACAGGTTAGGAGTTCTATTTAACTACATTTAATTTAGGAAAGGTGGGACATCCAAAAGAGGATGTTGGAAAGATCAGTAGAACTGCAAGAATGGATATAGGGGGAGAAGTAGATTGAAGACTTACCATCAGCAAAGAGAACATGTGAGTAGATTAAATCACACAGGGAGGTGAAAGTAGAGTGCAAAAGGGAGAGGACCATAGGCAGATCCTTATGGCCACCACTAGAGCAAGTGTCCAACCCACAGCATCCCTGCAGCACAGCCAGGGCCTGAGAAGGCAGCCTGGGACTTACAAAGAACAGACTGTGAACTGCCCTCACATTCCAGAGATATTGTTTGTGATGTTCCCTGCCACAGAGCAGTGTTTCCTTTAACCTTTCCCATTTTTCCTTATTCTTTTTAAAATTAATTGTTGATTAAATAACTTGCATTTGCTTTAAATTGTATGTAATGGTCAGTGGGTCAGAGAAGTGCCCAGTGCAGAGAGAGAATCCCAGAGTGGGGATACCCTAGCCCCTGTCCTAGGTGACCACAGCAGGGTTGGGGGTCAAGCCCCCCAGGAATCCTGGGTCCAGCCTTGTTGGGGTTATGAAGACTCTGCCAGACAGGAGAGTGGAAGGGGAGTCCTCAAGAGCAGGGAGGCCGCTGGGTAAAGGAAGTGGGAGCGAGGACTCAGATCCTTTCATTAGCCCACTTCACCAGGGTTGTGCAGAAGCCCAGGAAAGTTCCCCACAATAGCAGGACTGTTCCTCCACTTACACCTAAAAGCTGCTGTCTCATTACCGGCTCAAAACAGAGATTTTTAGAGTATACTATTTTGTGGGTGTGTAGCAACATTATCCTATATCATAATCTCTCTGAAATATCAAAACCAAAGTAAAATATTGTTAATTATGGCACTAGAGCAGGGTTATTACATCTACTTTCCCAGGAGCAGCCCTTCTGTTAAAAAGAAACCACCACCAACAAAAAATCTGTTTTTCCACCTAGAAATCAGTTTGTCCCAGTTCCTGTTATATTCAAACAGCAGCCTCATGCTTTTAAAGTCCCCAATGAAACCCAAATATTGGTGTCCCCACATATTCCCACCCTTTTAGATTTACTTTTGTGTGTTTGATTGGCTTTGCCTATTGCTTTATTCTTGTAATAAGTATACATAGAGCCAAGTGCAAACCAGAAAACAACAACGTTAAACTGTGCATCCAATGAAGTGGGTTTTAGCCCACGAAAGCTTATGCCCAAATAAATTTGTTAGTCTCTAAGGTGCCACAAGTACTCCTCGGTTGTTGTTTTTTGCTGATACAGACTAACACGTCTACCACTCTGAAACCTGTGCTGATATTGTTTGTTGTGTCTTGTTCGGCCAAAGTCGGCAGAGATCTCTCTCTATATACACCTTCTACATAACTACTACAGCAAATGCATCTTCAGTCATATATCCCAGTTTTTTATTATCAGAGAAACTGAGGCACAGAGTTTAAACTAGGGTAATGGTGCCAAAAGTCACAAGAGAAGTTCTAGATTTAAAGGTCTCCTGACACCCACATCTGTGGTTTATTTACTGGCTCACACTGATGTATATATCTCATGAAAGATTATCTTCAACCTACATATAAGGCTGTATATGCCAACCTACTGAATGACTTCATTTAGATAGATAGATATTTATAAAATGATTAGAATACAAGCTGACAAAATTAAAAGTGACAATGTTTCATTAATGTTATATTGTAACAGCAACTACATAAACAAAGTTAAAAAGTCATCCCAAACTAGCAAATTCCCATGAATTCTGGGTATAGTCAGATTTGGAGCTGAACTTTGTGGCTATCTCTTATCTCTACAGTGGTCTGATCCCAAATTCCAGATACAAACTTTGTCAGCAAACTTTGGTTAAAGTTGGATTAGTACCCAAACTCTATGGTTTGGAACCATCTCTACCCTCCATAACACTGAAATAGTAAAATAAATTTCAAAACTCAGTTTCCAGTTCTGAGTTAAATTCAGAATTACTTCACAAGTTTATATTTGCTTCTGACTGATTTTGCCACATATAAAAAGTGAGGATGTTATACGATGTAAAAAGTGCAAAAAACCCTTTGGTACAGTTTTGGGGGTTACAGTAAGTTACCCATAAAAATAATCCACTTAGCCCCTGAAAATTAAAATTAGAATGGCTTGTATACGGTGTTTACGATTTGC